ATGCTCCAGCCCCCCCCCCCCCCCCCCCCCCGTTCACCGCTCTCCCTACCCCAAAGGCCTCCCAAAGATCTTTCCCTCTCCCTGGGATAGCTCAGCAAACAGCGAAGGGAGACTACCTCAAATCCATCCTACAGGACTCAGCACAGGTATCACTTCCTTTGGGGAGCCTCCCCTGGTTCCCCCAGTCCAGGTGAAGTGCCCCTGCCCTGGGCCCTGTGGCCGATGTACTTCCCCCATTCAGAGAACTTGTTCATTCATGAGTCATGATGTACTGTCTGAGACCTCCTCACTGGACCGTGTGCCCCACAGGGCAGAGATGGGTCGGTTTTACTCATGGCTATACCTGCAGCACCTCCTAAGGTACCAGGGGTAAGGTTTCAGTATACATTTGCTAAAATAATCATAATCAAACAATCCATAAGAGTCATTTTCTTCCCCTTCTGTCCCTCCTGAGACAATGCCCCACACAAGGATTGTCCTTGGTATAAAAAAAACAAAAAAACAAACAAACAAAAAAACCTCAGACCTTGGCTTTATACTTTGACAAAAGAATGTATTGTCCTAACTGGGAAGCCAAAGGTGTCCCCTCTTGGAGTAAGTACTCCCAGAGCAAACTTCCAAATCTGTCCCTGTTCCTGGCTCTAGGCCCAGCCAATGGCAAAGTCCCCGACGTGGCCCAGCTCACCTGATGGTGTCCTGACATCTACCCGGATCCTCCCGTCCCAAAGTGGGTGAGCCGGCAAGCCAGTGGGCTGAGCTGAAGTAAGAAGGTGGGCTCCAGGGAGGGCGTAGCAACGTGGCGCCCCGCTCACGGCCAGAGAGGCAGGGGACGGTTTGCTCTCAGCCGCCATTGCTACTCTGGCTCCTGCCAGCCCCTGGGCGGAATGAGTGAGTGAGCAAGGGTGGAAGAGAGGGCGGGGGAAGGACTGGGCAGGCGGGCTGGGCCAGCACCCCAGATGTGCGGTGGCTGTGGCTAGGCTGGTGTCTCCAGAGAAAACACACGAAGGGGCCAGGAAGACTGGCAGCCAGCCCTGCTTTGCTTGCAGTAGTGAGGCCCAGGAAGGGGTAGGAGCCAGGCTGGAGGCTGTTCCTCTGCCCTTTCCTTTGACGCTCGGCTGCAATTCCATTAAAGCAAGGAGAGGAGGCAAAAGATTCCCAGTTCGGGGAATCGCTTTTCACCTCTGCAGCTCTGTATGGGCGCCAGTCAGCCCCGCCTTGGGGTGCAACTGCCTGTCGTCCATCCACTAAGTAGTTTTTGAGTGCCTACTATCGCCAACCACCATTAAAGTCACTGGGGATAGAAAAATTCCTGCCTTTGGGGGACTTTCATTTCGAAGAGTGACAGGAATGTGTCTTATGATAAGCCTGTTATACGGCTATTTCCCCATCTGGACCGTGGTTTCACAGAGAGAAGGAACAGATCCCCTTCACCTCGAGATTCTCCAGGGTGCCAAATGCAGAGCCTGATGCTAATGCTAGCCTTACAGCCACCAACAGGATTTGTCCCCCAGTCCAGGAGCCCCTTTCCTTGGCATGTGGGCCCTGGCAGTACCTACAGACAAGGAGGGGGTGACAGCAGCTCAATTTCATCTGTCCCTGGCCGCACATAAAATGAGTTGGCTTCACATTTCAAGCTGCTTTCAAGGGAAAATCCATCACGGGTGGTTTCTGCACTCGAGTGTGTGGGGCATGTAATAAGGCATAGTTTCTGGTGATCAGATACAGGAAAAGTATTGCAGGCCCACAGAGAAGATCAAAGCCACTGATCAAAGATGCGGATCAGACAAGCAACACCACAGAGGCACAGTCCCTGGGGAGGCATCGTCAGGCGGGGAGGTTTACGGCCACACAGGCCAGCAGGACACACGAGTGATTACCAGGCACAGATCTGCACGGACCCACATCAGAAGCCAAGGGCTTGGACATAATCCAGGCTCAGGAAAACAGAGCTGGCAGCATTATCACCAAAGCACCCGGCAGCCCGAGAGCCTTGCCCCTTACCCAACATAAACGCGGGACCCGAGACACCGCGGTCCTCACTGATGCCGAGGAATGGAGACACCACTTGCTTCACCAGTTCCTCCAGCTGCAAATAACCCTCACTTGGGCCTGTGGGCTCGTGAACACTCTGGAAATAAACATCCAAGAGAGACAAGGGTCAGTCAAAAGTTGCCAGGGCCGGCTGGCACTCAGCCACCAAGTCCTGATTGCCTTCCTACTACATTCAAAGTGGTGACACCAGCAGGCGGCATCGCTGTGGCTGGAATGAAGGAAACTGAGGCTTAAAGCCCGAGTCACTTGCCATGGGTCACAGGGATCAGAACTGTCCAGGGCAGGTGGGACTGCCCACTTTGGTCCCAACCATGTAATCCCACCCCACTGCCACAACGCAGGCACTTTACACGGACCAAAGCAGAGGCCTCTCAACAGCGCAAGGAGCCAGGGACCCTCCCTCATCGTCCACCTTCTACAGATGAGGAAGTAGCACCCAGAGAGCTCAAGTAACTTTCCCAGGAACACTCAGCTGGTGAGTGGCAAAAACCTGGGACTGGAATGCCGGCTGTCTGGCTCTGAACCCATCTTACTGCCACTTGTTAAGGAGGTTAGAAAAGAAAGGGGGACAGAACATGGAAAAATCCAGAACAGTAGAAGAAAGGGAGACTCACTGTGGAGCCAGACAGATGTTAGGCACCAAGATGAAGAAGAGTTAGTTCAAAAGCCCAAAAGGACAGGAGTCCTCAGGGCTAAGCCTGAACAAACACCAACTAAAACACATAACAACGGTCAAAACCAAAAAGGAGACAAAACATGACGAAGGTTCTCTAGAAGACCAGTAGACTCCTAGGGAATCCAATATCTTGCTGGAAAGGGCTCGAAGCCTTGCTCTGTGTTGAGGGACTGTGGAAAGGCAGAGAGAAAAGGCTCCGTGGGGGCTCCCCTCGGCCCAAGAGGACGTCCCAACAAATTCTCAAATTGGAATTGATGTTACAATCACCTTTACCTAAAAAGTAAAACTCCTCACTGTGCTGGAGTTTTCAGGGATTAGAGGAAAAGATGGCGGAGGGGTGAAGCGGGAAGGGCCCATCCCACAGATGGGGGAGGCCTGGGTGGGGTGGAGGCTCCCCTGCACACAGGCTGACTTGGCCCCTTGTCAGCTCCCCCCACCACGGAGACAGAGATGGCTGGGGGCAGTGACAGGGAAGGAATGGCTTAAGGAAACACAAAGGAGGTTGCGGAAGTGGGCTGTGGGGACAGAAGACATGGAGGCTGGGGCTGGGAAGGGGTGGGAAGGGAGGAGATGCAGAATAAACACGAGTGGGCCTCAGACTCCCTAGCACTGGCAGGGGACAGGGGACAGGGGACGGTGGGAAGAAGGCAGGATGTTTCTCATGCCCCGCGGGCTCTAATACCCCTCAGCGTGGGCCGAAGCCATGGAAGCAAAGGGGGAAAGCACAGGGCCTGCTTCACTGGGGAAGGAAATCCTCAAGGCCACAGAGGGGAGAGCGGAGCCTTGTTAATGCTCCCGGGGAACCACCCAGGCCTCAAGCGTGCAGCAGTTTCAGCCCCAAAACCACCTCGACTGGTGTTCAGAGCTGAGGAGACTTTTTTCTGTCATTTTTTTCCTCCTTGTTATTTCTCAGGGATATTTCTCTGAGATATTTCTCTGTTATTTCTCTGCCTTCTCCTCCCCCGCCCCCCACCCAAGTGTTTCCCCCACTACGATTAATAAACGCTAAACAGAGAGGGGCAACAGAGAAAGGAGAGGAGGCAAGAGGTGGGAAGAAAATGGGTTAACAAGTGCATGGTTTGGAGCTGGATGGTTTTCTCCCAGGGTAGCTGCTGGACAGCCTGGCTTGCACACAGCCCTCAGCCTGGCTGCCGGACTGCTATGTATTTGCAAGGCCCAGTGCAAAATGAAAATGTGGGAGTCCGTTACTGAAAAATTATTAAGAATTTCAAGATGGCAGTGGGAGACAATTAAACCAAGCACAGGGCCCTGCTTGGCATGAGACCCCGGGTGACTGCACGGGTACCCCTCAGAAGGCACTGTTCTAGGATGATCTCAGAACCTGTCTGTACCTGCCAGGAGGAACCAGATCTCTCTAGTGGTCAAGACCGCTGGTTCAGCCTCTCCCTGGGGTAGCTTGGGAGCATACAGCCCATAGCAGGGAAGTCGGAGCCCCTTGTGTATTTTGGGGAGGGAGAGGTTTGTTCAGTGACATTTTGGAAGAGCACTGGAAAAGGGAGAGAAGGCCTGAGAAATGACTCTTTTCTCTGTACGAGTCAGGCAAGGAAAAGCCAGCCCCAGATTTCATGGCACTGGGGAAAGTGGGGGTCTGGGGAGAGAAGGGAGCAATTCTAACTACTGGGACCCAAATTTCCTGTAGTTGGAATGATCCCAGGGCACGGCAACCTGCAAGGTGCATTCAGACCCAGCAGCTGCCATCCTGCTATTCAAGATGACAGACCTGGACTGGCCAAAGATCCCGATTCGTCACTGTCACATTCCCAGCCCTGGGCTTTATAGCTCCCAGGGTGAGGAAGAACGTGGGCCAGAACTAGTCCCACGAGACCCTTGGGGGAAATAACGCCAAATGCCCAGCATTAAAGCGGACCATCTTAGAAGCTTATGTAGCATCTCCCAGGACCCTGGGGGGACTGCTGGAGGGCAGGCAGTTGTAGCTGGGCATGGCTCGGTGGGCAGGTAGCAAGAGGTGAGGACTGGATGACAGATCCAGATCTTACAGATTAGGACGAGACCTTAAGCTGGTTGGCCAACTCTGAATCTCCACCTCATCTGTGAAAACAGGAAAACAGGGATTGTTTCCTTGCCCAACTTCCCAGACCTCTGTCACGACCATGGAGTTTCTCCGACTGTACTTCTGTCCGCCAAGAGACGAATCCCAACTACGTGATGGTCACTGTCAGGGGATTTGAGGCCAGAGACCTGGGGTCAGTCCTACTCAGGCTCTTTCTGGCTGTGCCATCACTTGCGGAATGGGTGTTTTGTTCACCCTTCCCCGGGCCTGCTATGTGCTGAAGGAACAAGAGGGAGGAGCAAACATACAGACCTGCCTTGGCCTGAAGGGGACCGTGGACCCTGGAAGACTCTGCTGTGTAGGGAGACACAAAGGGGGTGCCAGTGTGGCCGCAGTTTCCAGGTGAGGCTGGGGAGGTGGGAGGACCGGAGGCCAGGGTACAGACTGGGCTGCTCTCCTAAGATCCCACCGGGAACCCCACAGACAGCGGTGTGGACTGGGGGCCAGGATGGATGAAGGAAGCATCTCCCAGGCAAGCAGGCTAACCCCTACGGGGCTTCAGGGGGATGATGGCGGCTTTCTCATGTGATTCTTGGGTTGTCCAATGTGGGAACGTGGTGGGCGTTTCTCATTAGTACAGAGACAGTCCTTTTTGGTCTGCTGTCAGCAGGTGGGGACCCCCACCCCAGTTCTCCCTCCAAAAGAACAAACAGCAACAACAACAAAGGAACACCTGTCATCCCTAAAATATTATAAATGGAAATAAGAGGGGGAAAGCCCAACTCCTCTTTCCCAATTGTCCTATCCGAACCCTAAAGGGCTCATTTTCTAGACTTCTTCCGTGGGATGCAAGCTCTGCTTTATGCATCCCAGACATGAGCCCACACACACACTTTCTGACCCCCACGCCTTCTTCTTCCCTGCCATAAACATGCCTGAGCTGGCTTTCCAGACATTTAAGCACCCCCTCGTCCTATTAGGCAACTCTTGCTCCTCTGACTTCAGGAAAGGGGGAGAATGCCCAGAAGGATGGCCTAGCTTAGACAGCCAGAAGGCAACAGCAGCTGGGGGACGGGGAGACCAGGGCCCCAAGCCTGCTGTTCTACCCCTGCCAAGAGGGCAGCGGGGTCACCACCAGCCTGACCAACGATGGAACCGGCTGCCCTGGGGAATGGCTCAGACCTGATGCTGTGGCAGCTGAACTTGTTACAGAGGTGGAGGCATAGTTGCCATCTTCTGGGGCTGTCCCTGGGCTGCAGCTCTGTTTCTTGGGAATTATGCACCCCTGTCCATCGGATCGGGCTCCCTGACGCCATGTTTATGGTACTCGACCCAAGGTCATGGCTGACTGGCAAAGGGGAGTCGTGTAGCCAGAGCTAGACAAATCCAATTCTTTCCCCTGAGTGTACATAGCTCTGAATCTTACTACCTCTTGCTGAGGGAGCTTGGACAAACACACACTTCCCGGGTTTCCATTTCTTCATCTGTAAAATGGGAATAACAACACTGTCCGCCTCATAAGGTGGTCGTTTGGATTATCTGATTCAGAAATCAGCCAGTAGCATTAGCTCATCTTCCCACTGTTGATTCAGAACTGGGATTAAGAGACAACCATCTGGGTCAGCTCTTGGTGGAAACACGGGAGTTGTGTGTGGGATGCCACGTTTGGTCAGGTGCAAACCAAAGTACTGAATACAATTCTGCAGAAGGAGGGAGAAAGGGAGAGACACCAAGTCCACGAGGCACCGGGCAGGGCCAGGAGAGGTAGCAGCAGAGAGAAACAAGGCAAGACTGGTAAGTGGTGAAAGGCTGGCAGCTTTGGGGCCTGATGTGGTCTCACTTCTGGCTGTAGTCTCTTAGGGTGCCCACCTGTCCGGGAACCCTCTAGGGAGTTCCTGGTCTGGCTTCAGCTAGGCTACAGCATGCTCTTGTGGTCGCGTGTGACTTATGGATCACTGACATGCAGGAGAAGGGGGAGGGTGCTTCCTGAATGACAAGACCTGCTTCTCTGGCCCCCACTAGGATCCCAGCAGGGAGCATGGTGCCAGGGGCCTCACAGGCGCTCAGTGGAGGTACAACAAGGGAACAAATGCGCTAAGGCACAGGAACAGCTACACTGAAGAATACGAGCTAAGCTAAGACGTTCAAGTCGTTTGGTCCCTCCGCCGTCCCACAGGGTCTCTTCCTCCCTTGGCCAGGTGGCCACATCTCCACCGGGGCCTCACCCACCTGCAGGACGAGCAACATCTGGACAATGGATGAGGGCGGCTGGGACCGGGCCAGCAGCAAGTCGCCCGGCTTCACCTTCAGCAGGACCAGGTCGCGGAAGCCCAGCAGAGAGATCTGGCGGATGGTCAGCTCCTGGCCCTGAAGAGGAGAGAGGGGGCAGGGCTGGGAGGTGAGAGCCCGCTGGATATGCCACTAACCACGGGGGTTCCAGGACAACCAGTGTGTACAGAGCACCACGATGAGCCGGGATGAGGTGTCTGCAGACCTGGGTGGGGGGAAGACTGCCAAAAAGTCGAAGATTTGGCCCCTTCCTCCCCCCGTCCTTCCGAATGAAAACTTCATTTAAGATTAAGGTGTGACTCAGAGGTGCCTCGTGGCTCAGTCGGTTAAGCGTCTGACTTCAGCTCAGGTCGTGATCTCACAGTTTGTGGGTTCGAACCCCGTGCTGGGCTCTGTGCTGATGGCTCAGAGCCCGGAGCCTGCTTCCGATTCTGTGTCTCCCTCTCTCTCTGCCCCTCCCCAACTTGTGCTCTCTCTCTCAAAAATAAATAAAACATCAAAGGAAAAAAAGAGAAGGTGTGACTCACTCAATCCGCCTAAGTGACCCAAGATGGTACAAGATATATGGGGGCTATGCTGTCATGGGGGGCAAGGGGCATTCAGGAAGGAGGAAGAAAGGAAGATGAGGGGAAGCGAGAGAAAAGATCAACACTAGCCCTGCCCCCCACTTTCAAGGCTGCTTCCTCAACTTTGCTTAATATGTGAGCACCTGGCGCATGACAGGCAAAGAAGGAAAAACACAGGGACTCGTTTTGACCATGCAGGGTGCAGGCGGAGGATGAACATAACTAATAATCCTAAGAGCTGATACTACCCAAGCTCCATGTGCAAGCCATGACTCTAAATATTTTAGATGGAAGTAACACATTTAGTCGCCACCCTTTCGGACAGGTACTATTACAAAACCTACCCTGCAGATGAAAACCCTGAAGGACAGGGTTATGGTACTATATCCAGGGAAGAGCTGGATCTCAAACATTAACCGGTTGATTTTAGAGCTGCCAAAGTTTCCCAAAAGAGAAAGGAGGGCCTCTTTCCTAGACTCTCCTTTGCACATGTATATACAGCACACACCAAAGATGGGTTGCTCGTGGGAGAGCCAAAGATATCACCAAGGCACCTGCCAAACAGGATGTAGCTTTTCATCCCACAAGTCTGCCAAGGCTTAAGGAAGTTTTACATTTCCCGTTAACTCCTTAGGGTTGCCATCCCCGCATCCCCCCACTCCCTCCACCAAGAGATGCACACAACCACCACCAGTGCCTTCCAGGCTCGGGTCAACCACCCCCCTCCCTGATTGCCTTCCCCACCGCCTTAAGGTGCTACAGTTGCTACTTTTTGCCCCACACGCCAGCACTCGACACTGACCGCCTGTCTCTTAGGTCTCTGCCCTCGCTTCCCCTCCAGGGTTCCTTTCCCCTTATGAGGTAGGAAGATGAAGGCAAGCTTCCACACCCTTGAACACAGTAGGTACTCAAAACCACACCTGTCCAATGAGGAAGTAGGTGTCAGACACCCATCCAGGCAGGGGGCTCTAAGAAGGATCTAGCCGGACAAACAGACACCTTGGTGTGTTACCACCAGTAGTGAGAACCGCTAACTCAGGGCTTCCCGCGGTGGGGTGTCTGGAACAGCAGCGGCAGCAACAGCACTTGGGAAACCGTGTGTGGGGAAGCGGATGGACGGGCAGCATCACCTGTCACCGGAGCTTCTGATTCTTCGAGAGAAGCAGGACAGTAACGTCCTCAGACCCTCACAGCTGGGCTCCCGCTTGGATGTATGTGAGGGCCCTTCTTGGCCATCTGACGATTGTCCCAGGGCCATGCTCACTCAGGTGCCACACTTCCATTCTAAACCCATCTGGATACACCCACCCCTTGAAATTCCATGCCCACCAGGTCCCAAGAGAGAGACCCGGGTCTATACACCCCCGCCAACAGGATGCCAAATAAAACAGAGGATGTCCAGTAGAATGTGAATCATTTTTTAGTAGAAGTACACCCCAAATGTTGCATTATTCATTGTTTATCTGAAATTGAAATCTAACTCAGCATCCTGTCATTTTATTTGCTAAATCTGGGAATCCTACCCCTAGGTCTGTCTTCTTAGGACCTAGTGCTGGCCTAGTGACTATCACATGGTACGGGGGCTGAATTGTCTACATAAATGCTGCAAACCCCCTCACGGGGGTAAAGGATGGACCCGAGGGTAAAGGAAGGGATCAAAAGAGCAGTGAGCTGTGCAGGCCAGAGGCTTCTACTAAAAATTGTTAGGGGCAGGCCAGAAACGGAAAGGATCTCTGTAGGCATAACTTCCCAATGTTTAAATATTGATACATATTTAAAAGAATTCCAAGCTCCCATAAAATACCATTCAGAGCAAACAAAGCATGTGGGCCCTTAGGTCTGGTACCAGGGTCATTCCTACCACTGTTAATGGCTCAGCTGCTATGCCCCACACCCACACTTCCCCAAAGCCAGGTGAGATAGGAGCCTTAAGCCCAGGGGCGGGGTGGGGGGGGGCAGTGTTAATGCAGGATGGAGAGGTGAGTCTGGGAGAGGAACATCGATTGGTACACCTGCCTTCGGGGGCGTCTACTCTGCAGTGGCAATGCCTCGTCCTGCTATTAGACTCTGCGGGAAGATGGAAGGAAATCACCTCAAGTGTTAGGAGAAGCCCAGGTCACACAATAATACCAAAGAGATGCTACTCGCTGCTCACACGAAATTCCACGTTTTGCAGATGAAACCGAGCTATGCTCAGAGAAGTGAAATGAGTTTGCCCAGGACCAACTACTGATTCTCAGTCTAGTGTTCTTTCTGCTACGTCATGTGGCTACTTGTCTTCGGGAATCCCTTACAGAGGGCAAGAAACATTATTCCTTTCCCACAGTTTGGTACAACCAGGAACCCTGCCTTAAAATTGTGCTTCAAAGAAAGGGAGGGGGGGAGCAAAGAAAGAAAGGGACAGAAAAGAAAACAGTCTCCCTACCCCATCTCTGCTTCCGAAAAGCTGGAAGAAACAAACCACTCCGAGAACATACAAGGCATATTCAAAACCAAGAGGGTGAGGAGAGCCTACAAATTGCTAGTTACGTAGGCGCTCTCTCTTTGCTGGAGGTCAGATGCTAAACACAGACCAGAGAGCCCTTCAAAGAGCCCCGAGGTCCTTAGCCGACTCAGGCACCCAACGTCCTGCCTCTCCCCGGTTCACCAGGAGGCCCGAGCTGGCAAAGGCCAAGGAATGAGACAGAGTGCTGAGGCCGGCAGGAGGTCGTTCCTCCGAGACTGACCTGAACTGGATAAAATATTGCCTGCAGGGTGGGGAGAGTCTCAGTGAAGAAGTGGTCCCACACTTCAGCCAGAACCTCAATGCGATTTTCACCTACACGAGGGCGAGAAGATGGGAGGGGAGAAAGAAAGAAAAAGAATTTGTCATTACTTGCAGGAGAGGCTAGAGACCGCTCCGTGTCAAAGGGAGCATGGGGGCAGGTAACTCATGACCTACATTTCATCTAGGAGGCATTGCTACAAGTAAACGTGGGAATGAGTGGAAAGACTTAACCGAAAAGAGGCAAATATGTCTTCTATCCCCCAATCCAGGAAAGGGAGCTGAAGTCTGGAAATCGCAGAACAGTTGCTGCTGTGGTGAGAATGGTAACAACATTCTCAGGCACTGTACTAAACTCCTCATCTACATTTCAGAATAAACTACTCCCTCACTTTACAGGCTCAGAGAGACAGGCCAGGTGTCTAGCCTAACATCACACGGCTAGAAGGCAGAGCTGGGATTCCAGAATCCATGCCCTTGACCAACATTATCTGGGATGATCACGTGCACAATTATATATTGTTTTGATTTTCTAATCACTACGACACTGGGTTTTTATTCTGGATTTGAGCTGTTGGGACAAGGAGGTGAAAAGAAGGGCCTGGAAACTGTCACTTCCACCCACTGGTTTGCAATAACCAGCGGGGAGAGGGAGGCAGCGTATCACCTGCAGAACTCAGGCCCCGCCTCCTGATGCTATACTTACGCTCACCCCTGGGATCCTGAGCCACTGGTCAGGCACCGCTCCCAGGCTGGGTGTACATGGGTCACCCAATGCCACCAGAAGGCCGTGCCAGGAACCCCGCACCTGCAGGAAAGGCCGGCACTGGCAGAGAGGAGCCTGCACGGTGGCTGCTTTTTAATGACCTAGATAACAGACCTGATTGGGCACCGTCTTTGCTCATCTGAGGCCGAGAAACTGGGTCGGCCAAGATTAGACACTGAAAGATGCATTTGGCAAAACACTGCCAGTTCCACTGAACAGATCTTGAAAGATTCATTTAGCCTCTTCCGCCTATTAATTTAATGGACAATAAAAGCAGCGGCTGGGAGAGAGAACAGAACAAGGGCAGAACCAGCAGCTAGCGGGGCCAAAGATGCATGGATTTTTGAAAGCTTGGAGAGACACACGCTAGGGGAAAATGCAAATCCATAGTCCCCTGTAATTTGCCTCACAAAGTGCTAATTACACGTTGTTGGAATCACTGATTGACTTCTCTGTCTCCTCTCCTAGAATGGGATGGGCGTCTGGGTCCTGTCTGTCCTGCCCCACCATTATTATTTCTAGTGCCTGGCATGTTGCCAGATCAATAAATTACTTTTTAGAAATCTCTGAGTGAATGAATCACAAGTATCAAGGGTACAGGCTTTCGCAGATGCTGCGGCTGGTGAGTGAAGGGGGTTAACATTTAGCCCCAGCATGGGACAGGACACAACAGGACTTAATAATTAGCTCCAACATTTTCCTTTGGTCTTAGATCAAGGAAACATCCGCAACACGGGCAATCTGGAGGGGACAGTCTGTTTCCTTCTTCTGCATCCTCACCCTCCTTCTCTATTCCCCTAAGTATGTGGATTTTATTTCAGCCCCTCAGGCTCACCATGCTCTGTACACCACAGGGCATTTGCATGTGCTAGTCCCTTTGCCTAGACTATTCTTTACCCCTTTTTCTGCCTCACCTACATCTGCCTATTCTTTTAGTGTCAGCTCCAGCATCACTTCTATAGCAAAGTCTCGCCCATGGGTCAAACCTCCCTCCTACAAACTGTATTCTTTTTTTTTTTTAATCTTTAAAATTTTTATTTATTTTTGAGAGAGAGACAGAGCAGGAACAGGGGAAGGGCAGAGAGAAAGGGAGACACAGAATCCCAGCAGGCTCCAGGCTCTGAGCCCGATGCGGGGCTCGAACCCACGAACCGCGAGATCGTGACCTGAGCCAAAGCCGGACGTCCAACCGAGTCACCCAGGTGCCCCAGACTGTATTCTTAGTACCTGCTGCAGTTACAGTGTTATATTTCATAATGATTTGATTAATCTCCCTCTTCACCACTGGGTTATGAGCTAATCCACGAGGGCCTGGAATCCTAGGATGGTTTTGTTCACCACCGTGTCCCCAGCACCTAGCAAAGTGCCTGGTAGATGGCTGATAATCAACCAATGTCTGAACGAACCAATCTTTTCAAATGTAGGCTATGCTAGTTCGTGGCAGGGAGGAGTCGGGGAGCTCAAAAGGAACATCTGACATGTTAAGCCATCCTGGTACCCAAAACCAAGGTGAGCCCAACACCCGGGGAACGTACTGCACAGGAGAAAAGGCCATATTCCAGCTGCTTTATTGACGGCCTGTATCCTAAGCCTTCCATTACAAAGCCCAGCAGAGGCCTTCCCAACACGAAGGAAGGGCAGGAGAATCCTGCAGATCCGTGCCGGTGCCCGCTTATTCCCCTCCACCGCCGGGATGGAGAGCTCGTCAGCACATGAGGTAATCTTTCAACCCAGCAGCAGGAAGGCACCTCTCCTGGGAACTCGGGTCTAATTGCTGGCTTCGAACTTCACAGAGTAATGGAGGTTTTGGAAAGTGTTCAGAGAAGAATGGCCGACTGACACAGGCTAACAAAACAGGGTGACCCCGGGGAAGAAAGAGTTTCAGGGAGGTGACTTCACCTCCAGAAACAGCCCCTAAGGACTTAGCTCCCCGCAAAGATGAAGGGGGCTGCACAGAAGCTTCTAGACAACCACCCTATAAAAACTGTCCTCTAAATGTGCCACAGGAGTTTAGATCACCGGAAGCCCATAGAAGGGGAATCAGGGACTCCTTACGGTCAAGGCCACGAAAGCTCTGGGAAAGATTCGTGGAAGAAACACGGCAGATCCTGCCCACAAAAGATCAACACAAGGATAAGAGCTGCCTCTGTCCTTTCTGCGGCCATAAGGGACACATGTACAATGTGTCCATAAAACAATCAGGTCAACAGAGTACGGTCTGTTCAGTGATAGGATGGATCCTATAGCAAGGGAATCCTTTCTGTCAAATAAAATCTTTCGTGGGGTTGTAATACATGAAATAAAAAAGTGGAGAAGTTCTGGCTGAAGACAGGAAAGGCCCTTCAAGGTTCTCCACCTCTTTCACTGTGCAGAGGTGACATGCAGACCACACGGCCAGCATGGACCCGGGGAGAACCCCCGCCCTGGTGCCCCATGGCATGCTTTAGGGCAGAGGCAGAGAACCTCAGATGACCTTCATTTACCCCATTCAGCACCATTTCTGAGCCTTCACTCCAAATGTATCCGTGTCAAGCGTCACTGGAATAAGAGACATCGACTCTTCCCTGAAAACACTTACAGACCTGGTTTTGCTCGGTATCTTTTTTATGAAGCTGGTTTCCCACATTTGCAGGAGCATGTAGTAACCCCTCAGGTGACTTACAGACAAATAATGTGGCCAGAGACCACGCTTCCCTTCCCCCCCCTTTACTAGGCAGCCACCTTCCATACTTGTGTACTGGCCCGACTGTTAAATGCAAAAGGGGCACAAAATCCCTGTCAAAGCCACTCACTTACAACTAAGGCCCTGGGCTAGTGGGTGTTTATAAGGTTGAAAAAGCCTGAATACAGCTATATGGAAGGAAAACAAGGCTACAAGTTCAGTCAGCTGTCACATATATGGAAGTTAATTTCTAATCTCTATTCTTCCAAAGGTCTGCTGAGCACTTACTGTGGGCCAAGCACCGGAACTTTCCGGTGTCAGCTTCTCATTTGTCTCCTACTTTGTCTTCCCAGGGGACACTTCATGGAACAAGAATCTCTTTCCCAGGGAATGGAGGTGAAAAAAAGGGATGCTCTATGGCCTGATATGTCTGGGACTAGTAGTAAATTTGACCTACAGATAGAGGTCTTTAGGTTAAAGTACCAAAAAAAAAAAAAAAGAAACCAGTTTGTGGACCTACGGCATGCCAAGTATGATGCTACGCCAGGTACACTCCTTATAACCCCTAGCCCATTTGGTCATTTAAAAAATGATAAAAAACTGGGGCGCCTGGGTGGCTCAGTCAGTTAAGCATCTGACTCCTGATTTCGACTCAGGTCATGATCTCACGGTTCATGAGTTCAAGCCCTGCACTGGGCTCTGCGCTGAGCATAGTGCCTGCTTGGGATTCTCTTTCTCTCTCTCTCTCTATTTCTCTCTCTCTCTCTCTCTCTCTCGAAATAAACTTAAAAAAATTTCAATAAAAAATTTTCAAAACTAAATAATCAGTAAAAACCAAGGCTCAAAGGAACTAGAAACTTGGCCAAAGTCACCAAAGAAGTAGGTGGTAAGCTAAGGTCAGAATCCACCTTGGAGGCAGCTGAGAGGTAGCCCTTGATAGAGTCCCGGGGTTGGCCACTTCTTGCCTTGGTCCCATCTCCCATCTCCATTCGGTCCCTTTCTATTCTGTCTGCTGGGCTCTAAAATCTTTCCAGGCCAGGAATCTTCCATTGCCTATCAAATCATACGCCATTCAGCAGGGGCCTGTTTAGCCTAATGCCCCCCAGACAGGTAGGCCTCCTGTCGTATAGGACCTCAACTAAGATGAAAAAGGCCAATTAGAAATAGCCTGGGTCAGACGAGGGAGAACAGCATGTCAGGATCCGTGGTAGAATTTATCCCTCCACAGGGGGCCGCCAGCACCCATCTCGTGAAAACACCCTCGGCGAGGGTTCTCGGAGAAGACCACCCCAATCCCACCTCATTTTTCAAAAAACAGATCTGACTGGCACAGCCACAGTGGCTGGCTCCGAGCAAGCGAGGCCGCTCGCGGGGGGAGCGAGAGACAGGGTGAATCACTCACTTGGAGCCTGCCACTCTTGGACAGAAGCATTTCAGCTGTCCAAACAGCAGAGGCTGAGTCACAGGGCCCACTGTACGAGGGCTGCCTTGTACTTGCCTTCACACAGCTTAATCTTCTCCTCCACAAACAACAGGCCTTTGGCAAGAAGCTGATTCTGTCAAGAGAGAACAAAGAACACAAGGGTTGGGCTACTTCACGCACTGACAAAACCTCTTCCACGTCCAATGGGCGAGGGCGCGGGGCTCTGGGCCCTTGGATGCCAGTCACGCTTCCAAGTACTAGAAGCCATCTGTCCTCTTGGAAGATCAGGCTTCGGGAGAAGTCAACAAGACATCCCACGGCAAACGAGGGAGACGAGAGCCAAACTCAACCACCATTCCATCCCTCCAAGCAGGGAGGAGGCATGCCACAGGCTTGGCTGAGTCCTACGGCAGGCCTGTGGTGGACACCCGATGTCCTTCAAGCCCTTCATCGAAACTCAGAAAAGGGAGCGTTGAGGTAATGGGAAATTGTGCAGAGAGAATATATTTTTTTAAGAGATGAATTTAGGGTTTCCCACGCAAGCATGAAAGAGACTGTATGCAAAAACCTTAAGCAGCCGTGAGTATGTGTCCACCAGTGAGGGTGTGCATGGAAAGCTGTGGAAAGAGAGAGTACGGTTAAGTCCTTGTGCAATTGTACCTAGCAACTGCTGAGTGTTCTGCGCATGTCAGAGGGTTTATATCGTTCATTTCACCTAATTGCAACCCTCCCAACAGTGCTAGCCGGTTGGTGCCATGACCCTCACTTTACTGACGGTCAGTGAAGAGACCGCCTACAGGAGACAGACCAGGTCTTCTTAGCTCCAGAAGCCATGTTCTCTCCACTCTGCTTTGTTGCCTTCTAGCAAGTCTCCCCACCCAGAGCCCCCTTGAAGGGCTAGCGCTGGTCCCATAAGAAGTGGAGCAGCCTCTTCACAGGTCACAGAAGCTCCAAGAGCAAGGATGCGCTGGTGCGTCTCCACTCACCTCACATTATCAGATTATCAAAGTCCTATGCTTATGGGACAGGGGGCCCATGGTGATCTGTATCCTACAGAAAACCTAATGCATTTCTTAGTATTCTCCTTTATAAAACCTTAAAACCCTGTTGCAACGATGACAATGATGCAAACCCTCGTGCATAGCAGAGTGGAAAGAATCTGGATATCAGACGGGGGCTCAAGTCCCAGCTCAGCCACACTCGAGCTGTGTGATCTTGAACTTTCTCTAATACTTGACTTCCTCAGCTGTAAAATGGCACCATACCAGCAACATCATAAAGTTCTTATAAGACTTAGTCATTACACACACACACACACACACACACACACACACACACACACACACAGTAACTCATGTCCTTAGTACTCAGTGGTAATGGGCATTGATGATAATAGCTGTTCTCTTAGCCCATCTATCTTCACAAAGGAGTGGGAGTTAAAGAGAGTCGGTAATGAATGGGCCTACATCAAATATATTAAAATATTTTGTCAAAGGAACTGTCACATTTCTGTGACTCACACATATAAACCAAATTTCAGAAGCCCTATTAAAATTCACAAGAGATGATCTAACTTCAAAAAGTAGTTGGCCAGCGTTTAGTGTCAAGATGGAACCCCAACTCAAAGTCAGAATGACATCTTCTAGGAGAAGATGTTAACCAACTCTGTTAAAGGAGACAAAATTCAATTCCTTTACACAGAACGATGGAACAGAGAGGTAGTTTCAGTGAGACCCCACCTGCATTCTCCACCTTCCAGCCAAGCAAATGAATCCCAACAGCTTCTGGGTCAGAAAGCAAGAAAACACCACTGCACCAAATTTAGACTATCAGAAGCAAGGCTCTGTGACAGCCAGGCTGGACAGGAAAGGACTGTGCAGGTGCCTTCCAGAAGGCAGTCGCTCCACCTGTACGTTTCTGAGCAGCTGGGGCCTCAAGTCTCTGTGTGGGTCCCTATCACCCATCCAGGTGAAGTTCTCAGAACTTCCCCTGGGTGCTCTGTGCAAGGGCTCCTGATGCCATTAGTCTCTGTCACCACCTCTGATGCCAACACAGATGTCCCAGGCTTCTTCCAAAACAACTTTACAACCTTCCAAGATGTCATGTTTCTGCAATGCACCTGTGGATGTGATTGCACCTCCCTCTTAATGCAGTTTTTGTGACTTTGTCCTATGACGTCTACATTTTAAATGGCAGGGGTGGGGGTAGAGTGGTGGGAGAACAGGAAGTACTGACAACAGAGAGATAAAAGCCTAGTCCAGGCGATGTCATGAGTTAAAGAAACAAATTCAAACCCTGTATCATACTCACTAGGTCCTTAGCGGTGAAGGCCATTTCTTACTGCTCTGAGAACAGTGTCCCAAACATAGCAGATGTTAATAAACATTGGCTGAATATATATATTGCCTGTTTTGGTGCTGAAGCCCATTTTGAACTTTTAAGGAATCAAGATAAGAGACAGAATATGTAGAAGAGGGGAGAAAGTGATACAGGGTCCCTAAGTCTGTTGACGTTTTCTTTACTTGATAAAAATCACTCTGCATCTGTACCTTAAGGGATAAGCTTTAAACGATGGCTCAGGTTCTTCTTCCCTCTCTCTCCTACTTCTCCCCCTTCAAGGAGACATTTGGGGAAAGAAAAAAAGACATTTTTTTTTCAATGAAAAGGAATGATTTGTGTATTATGGAGAAATGGAAAAGAAGATAACTCTTTTAAAATCCTCAGGATACTCAGCATGGCAGTTCTGTAACTTAGGCCAAAATAAGAGCAATAGAAACTTGGGCTCAGGAGGGGATTTAAGGAGCCTCTAGCCATATTCTGCCATCTCCCCAGCCCTGTGGTCAAAATCCACTGGTCACACGCAGTTTTGAGGCTATTTCGGTGGACTCGTCCTTTTCCAGGAAACTAAAGCACCTTTCAAAAGCATCTTGCAGATTCTTCTATCCGCAGGCATTTGTACATTTTGCTCTTATTTTACAGCTGAATGAATAACTGGTCTCCAGCTTTTGTTTGTCACGTACACGCAGAGGAAGGATCACTGGGCCCAGCCTAGCCCACAGCCCCTGCTCTCCAGAGAATCTCCCGCCATGCACTCAATGGATCTGTGCCCCACTGTGCAAGCTCAAACCCCTTGATCACAGCCTGCATCTCCGGCTTAGCTGATTGGCCTGTTTCCTATCCCGTTGCTGACCCAGGCCTCAAACTGAGCCAACAGTCTTCTCTCCTGGGAATCTGCAGTCACACAGGCTCCTACCCTCCAAATGGTCCTATGTTCCTCCGGGCCTCATGGCCTGAAGGGCTTCCTGCTTGGGGTTTAATGCTCTGCAGTTGCCATTTTAATTCTTCGTATTTTTTATCTTCAAACTTGTGTTTTGTAAGTGAAATCTGATTGGGTTCACTTGTGGTCCTGCCTCCTACCACCTCCCCAGGAGGATTTTTCAACACCTGCTCGCCCCCCACTCCCCCACCCCTGCGCGTACTGGTCCCACAGGGTCTCCCTCACCCTGCCTCCGGCCCCACACTGTCCTCTTATTCCCCGAAATGCTGGGGGGCCAAGGCCCAAATGCAAGGAGGGTAGGGTTGGGGCAGGCCCTGCAGCACCTGGGGAGGGGCCCCGGGGGCAGGCTTCCCCGCGCCGGGGCTGGCAGAGCTGTGGCTCAAGTGCTGGTAACTCAGGGAGGGCCTCTTGACCATCCCGGATGTGTGTACTGAGGGTGCAAAGGTTCCGATCTCTCGTGGGGGGTCTCCTGTCCACCACAGGCTGCAGCAGCAGGCCCACGGGAAAGGGAGACCGACCTCCCCAACCCTGGCTGCGGCCACTCTGTGTGCTGCTCGCTTCACCTCAGGATACGCCAACTGGACATCTGTGGGGCTTAAGGCTGCTGAGACACCCCCCTCCTTCCCCCCAGAAGGACAAAGGAAAACGAAAAGAACCAGCCTTGACTCAGGCATCCATCTTGGACGGTCTGTCCTTTTAAGCATCTCTTCCTGGAACTCGCCTCACCGCATTCCCGGCCCTTAACAAAGGCATGATTCTGGAAGGTGCCGAGGACACGTTTGCTGCAGGCTGTGGTGATGGAGCTGTGTGGTGCCAGGGCTGGGAAGAACCCGACCTTTCTCTGGTCCCGTTCCCTGCCCAATGGCGGCAACCGCACCACCTCCCCGGCCCGATGGCTTGGAGCCAACAACCGTTTACATTAAATAGCAGCCACCTAGGAAATGACTTGGGACTGGGAACGAGGCCCATTGTTACTTGGTGCCTTGCCCCCACCCCATAAATGAACTTAGACATGGAATACACATCACTTGAATCAAGCAGCAGAGGAGCCTGGACGTGAAAGATAGCTGACATGTCTAAGACATCAAAAAATACGCCACCAACAGAAAAATGAAGTTCAGCTAGGAAAAATGCAAAAAAAAAAAAAAAAACCCAAAAAACAAGGATGTCTGGGGAAAGGCATCCAAAACCACCCAATCTTGAGTGGGTGGGACAGATTCAGCTCATCCTAGCTGATCAGGGCAGGCAGGAGGAAGCAGGGGAGGACAGAGGAGAAGGTGGGCTTGTCAACAGTGTGCACCTCTTGTCAAGCAGGTAGTTCCCCAAACCCACCGGAGGGACTCAGGGAAACAGGGAACCCACAGGCTGGGGGGTGGGGGTGGGGAGAAGGACACTAACCCATCTTCCCAGAGGAAAGAACTTTCCAACAGCAGGAATCCTGTAAATGCTAAGGCTGCCTGCCACTGCTTTAGCGATGATAATGAAGAAGAAGAAGAAGAAGAAGAAGAAGAAGAAGAAGAAGAAGAAGAAGAACGAAGAATGACAGTAGAGTTATTCACTGGTTTTTACTCTTGTCAGGCACTGTATTAAACCCTTTGCATGCACTAACTAGCTCATTGTACCTTTGCCACAAACTATGCCTTTTGTACAGATGAAGAAACGGAGGCTCAGAGTAGCAACTAGCAGATGTGAGACCAGAACTAGCACCCAGATTGGTCTGAATCCAAACCCCCATTATATTCCCTTGGTTTATTTTAGCAATAATAAAACAATATATATAAAGATACAAATAGCTACCGTATGTTGACCGCTCCCTAAATACCAAGGACTTTGCATCTACAACATCTCATCTAGTA